ATAGAATTCTAAAGGATCCTATAGGTTTTTCGTGTTTCAAAAACCTATAGGAAAGTCTAGAGGTTTCCTATAAGAAATAGCTAAAGGTTTCCTATAGGACATTTCCGTAAGGGCCCACTTTCCTCCAGAGCCAAATCTTTTGGTGTGTGAAGTTGGATCGCTGCAACCTGATAACCGTGAGGTTCACTTAACGACAGACTAAAATCTGGAAGAGATGGAGCTTGCTAGGCTGATTTTGCGTTGAGAGGTTAAGATGAATGTTAAATGTAGTTCCTCCAAATGCTCTCAGAGAGGAAAATGTGATGCAATTTTGCAACGGGAAGGGATTGAAGAAGGGAAAATTGATTCTGGAAAATCGTCGCGTCACCGTGCATGAATTTGCAGCAGAACTAAACATCAACATTGGGAGTGTCGAAAACATTATCCACACTCACTTTAAGTTGAAAGAGGTGACTGCAGCATAGGTGCCAAGAGAACTGACATTCGAACAGAAGGCTAACCGAGTGAGCGCTGCGTCGGACCGTTTCAACTGCTATGACAAAGAGGAAGACAACATCCTCAACCGCATTTTGATGAGTGATGAAATGTGGATTCATCATTTAGCGTCAGTATGAAAACGTTGAAGCATGCAAAGGCGACATCCCACATCGCCTCGGCAGAAAAAATGCAGGGCAATGACGAGGTGGTGAAATGGCAGCGCACTCGACCATAAGCATTCTAATGTCTCTGGCGTTCAGGCTTTGCCAAAGCGATGAGTCAAGGACGTCCGTGTAGGAGGGGAATATCTCGAGAAGTATGTGTGGTTTCATAGAGATCAGATGTACTACAGATTTTCTGGAATGAAAAGTGCAGGTAAGTACTGAAGTACTCGTAGTTTGTCTTGATGGGCTTAAATTTCCCTCTCCTACAATGTGGATAGGTTTCTGCGGCTGTCGACTCCGCTCCCAGCACCTTCCTTGCCCTTACGACGTCGCTCTGGATGGAGTTTCCATTACGCATGAATAATATAATGAGCTTACTCCATGGTGCGGATTATGGCAAAAATAACTCGACAGCAGCAAACGGAAAACGCACAGCATCCGACTCTTGAAGCATAGAAGAGAAAGACCATAGTCTAAAACCGAAATTACGAGGGGTGAGTCTCAAGAATTGGCCCCATCCACATATCTTGGACCAATCTCACGATAGTCCTTTTCTTCAACAGGGATTCAATGATTAGTACGAATTTTTTTAGTAATTTTTTTTTTCATTGCTGAATTGAGTTAAGAATGAGAAGTGAATTTTTAAAGTGGTGAATTGAGTTATAGATAAGAAAGAAGTTCTTAAATGGTAACCTACTTTAATAATAATGCATAATTTTTGGCTGAGTGAAGATTGAGGGCTAAAGAACTTCCATAATTCATAACTGGAATTGACGTAATTATTCCTCATGCGTTCCTAATCATTAACTCAATTCCCTCCCACTCGACCTCAATTCCCTCCCACTCAAATTTTCCATATTTTCTCATCCGCGGAAAAGTCATCGACCGACGGTAGCGATTAATGCAGCGGTGTAATTTTTTTTACTCTCTGTCCTACCCATCGCTTCGCTCCGCATTCTCTCGGTCGATCGGCATCGATCCGCCGATCGGCATCGATCCGCCGATTGGCATCGATCCGCCGATTGGCATCGATCCGCCGACGCGTTCCCTGTCGCACGCGGAGAACGTAGGTGTGGGGTAAAAATAAACGCGTGCATATTAGTAAGTGACGTCAAAGAGATTCTGTCGCATCCTCGAGTGCAGGCCAGGCATGCAGCATTTAAATGATTCGGTCTTAAGCCGTCTTAAGCCGTCTTAAGTCGTCTTAAGTCGTCTTGAGCTTAAGTGAGGGGAATCCAGTAGCGTCGATGCCATGAGGAAGCGTCGATGCCGTGATGCCGAGTTTCTTAAGAACGTGAGTTCGAGTCTGCATCAAGCATTAAGCACTGAACCGACATTAAGCAGAGTTGAATGATGAATGAATGGAATCGTCATGCGTCTATTTTTAAGCTCACCTGCCGTCATGAGCCACGCATGATGCATGCCGTCGCCGTTTCGATGCCTCTTTCCGATGCGGCATCGCGTATCAGTGTATCAGAGCGTGAAAGAAAATCGAGATCAATCGCATTCAGTCGAACGGAATTTGCAGATTTGCTCTCGAGGAATGCAATGCGCGATTAAAATGTGAGGTGCCAATGCAAAATTTAGCACGCTTTCGGAAAATTTGGCATCCGTGCAAGATTTTGCAAAATTCCCTTCACCATGCAAAAATTTGTTTTTGCAGCGAACTGGTACCACGACGATGAGCTGGACATCTTCCCCGTCTGCGGCAATTCCTCAGGCGCCGGGTAAGCCGTCGAAGCGCTGATGACCTAGTGCTGATGACCTAGTGCTGATGACTTCGTGCTGATGATCTCGCGCTGATGCTGATGTTTTCCCGTGCAGGCCATGTCCGGACAACTACACGTGCCTGCAGGGCTTCGGAAAGAACCCGAACTACGGATACACCAGCTTCGACACGTTCGGCTGGGCCCTGCTCTCCGCCTTCCGGCTCATGACCCAGGACTTCTGGGAGAGCCTGTATCAACTGGTACGATCGGGTTTCCCGCCTTCTCCCTTGATGAGATTTCCGCCTTCTCCCCTCGTTTCCGCAGTCTTCACCGAGTCGTCGATCCGGTCGTAGTGATGGGTCGAGATTGAGTCGGCGGAGTTTGGGGCAACTTTGGCTTAATGTCGGCTTCCCTGATGAGTCGTGATGAGTCGTGTGTGGGTTCCAAGGCTGCATTTTTTTTTAAGGCGGATTCTGCGTCCTTGAGATGATTTTGGGCGGGACTTGGGTATGGCCTTGATGGGGAAAATTATTAATTCTGACGACAGGGAAAACCTCGCGGGATCGGTGTCACGAACATCGATCGGGGAAACCGGTTTTTTTTTTTCCTCTCCGGATTGCGTGCGGTGGAAATAAATTATTTTGGGTTCGGATCGGGTGATTTAGACGAGAAGGGAATGAGGCTTCGAATTAGAAGTGTCTAATTAGAAGCACTTAATTAGAAGCACCTAGCGAACAGATGAGATTGGGCTGCGGCACCAGATGCGTCGCATCATCTGGCAATAATTCCCGGGGAAGGCAATCTCATCAAGCCGAGAACCTTCAAGGGCGGGCGGGAGAATGCCCTTTGGGACACTTCTCGACTGTTCGCAATTTTTCGTGAAATTCTTCACGGTGGAACTTTTAGTCAACTTTAAGCTGACCGAACTGACTTAAACTGACCGAAGTTGCTTAAGGCAGACGCATAATTGACATTTTTCCCGTCTTAGTTGTTGCGAGCAGCAGGTCCTTGGCACATGCTGTTCTTCATCCTCATCATCTTCCTCGGCTCGTATTACCTGGTGAACTTGATCTTGGCCATCGTCGCCATGAGCTACGACGAGCTGCAGAAGAGGGCCGCTGAGGAAGACCTGGCGCAGGCCGCCGAGGAGGAGGCCATGAGGGTGAGCTGAGATTCCTTTTGACCTCCAGTGGGCGCGAGCCAATCGCGGGCGAGTGCGGGAGAGAGCGACCAATCACGGAGGAGAGCGGGAAGGAGCGGCCAGTGAGCGTGAGGCCGGCCGGGATGAGGGAAGTCAGAACCAATCAACGCCCGTCGCGTTCGCCTCAATTCCTCGTTCCGTGTGGATGTCATTCAACCTTCCGATTTCCGACCTCTCTGCAAGGGAGGATGTTCGTGTCTAGCGATCAGCCGTTTCGAAGCAAATCATCCATCAGTCGCGTTATGAGAACGATGAATTAGGCAGCGTAATTTCGCAAGGGTATTAGGAGTTCAACATTTAAATAAACTCAGGTACGGTACTTTAATTCTGCAATTTAAGAATAAATAACATTTCTCAATCACTTACTAAAATTATTTCTTGCGTCACGCCCGCGTCACACCGTTACGATGCCCTGCAGTCCTCCTGCATCCCTTCTCCGACATCAGGTGGAGGAAGAGGAGGCCCTGTACGGGATGACCCGCCAGCAGATGGAGCAGGAGGAGGAGGAGAACGCGAGCGGGCTGAAGAGCCCGACGGCGTCCTCCTGCCAGTCGTACGAGCTGGTCGTTGGGCAGGAGAAGCCGGGAGAGGACTGCACGAGGGAGAAGATGAGCATCCGGTCGGAGGACGACGTCCTGTCGGAACACCGGATCCGGATCAACGGTCGCGTCCGGAAGGTCTGACACTTCCGTTTTGGGTCGTCGTGCATGCGTCCTCTCGAAGATCGCGTCCTCTCGAGGACTTCACCAATTTTTGGGATGTCGGATACTGTGACTGCAAACCAGTTGAAACTGTTTCACGATGATTAAGATCAAGATAATTAATATCAAGATGATTAAGATCAAGATGATTAAGATCAAGAACAAGATGTTTGCAAGAATCCACCAAGCTAAACTTAAAATGTTTCGTACCACGGGGTCTTCAACGCGTTGCATTTCCTTCATGCCGTAGACGTGGGTGATGCATATTGCATGTCGAATCGCACGCACCTCCGCCACAGTACCGGGTGTCCTTTGTCCTTTGTCCTTTGTCCTTTGTCGAGGCCTCCTGCGTTTCACTCGTAGAACGAGAACGAAAGTTCCTGTCGGAGTAGAACTGGGGTAGGCGTCAGTAGTCGATGTAGTCTTTAGCACTTGTCTCGTACTTGTATAGTATTTGTTTAGTACTTGTACTGCACCGTGCGATGTCTCGTGCTGCCATGGAAGGCGGTCGGTGACTTCGGGGACAGTGTTGCAAGAACTGTGGATGGGCAACATGAATGGAAATGCAGCAAGAGTGTCTCGGCACTGAGCCTGATTCGTTTCTGGAACGACTGAAAAAAATTATGCAGTCACACCGTGGTCACAAATATTCTGCGGTCACATGGTGGTCACAAAATATAGCCAGACGTATTTGCGTGGACTCAGGGAAGCTCGAGTGTGCCGGGCAGCCCGTTCAAGCACCGGCGGGGCAGCCGGAGCAGCCACACGTTCCGGAACGGGAAACGGCGGAGCAAGGCCGCGGCGACGCTCACGACGTACAAGGACGCTCAGGAGAACTTGCCGTACGCGGACGACTCGGCGGCGGTGACGCCGCTGTCGGAGGATTTCCCGCCGCCGTACCCGTCGAGGCACGGGTCCTACACGTCGCACCTGTCGCGGTATTCCTACTCGTCGCACGGGGATCTGCTGAACGGGGGGAGGCAGTTTGCGGCGGCGAGGCCCAGGGCGAGGGTCCGGCCGCCGTCGAGCCTGGTGCCTGATCTGGTCGTCGACCCTTCCAAAGGAGATTTTGTGAGTGTCGAGGGGGAGGGCAAGGGGGGCAAGAGGGGGGCAAGGGGGGGCCAGGGGGGGGGGAGGGGGCGAACGGCGTATGCGTTGGGAGCCAGAAGAATGTCTCAAGAGATCTCGAGTGGAGTGGATGGTGAATTTAAAGAAAACTTGGCGTAAGTATTAGACCTCTTGCGGTTGAGATTTCTCTGAGAAGAAGAAAGAATACTGTGAAAATTTTATTGCTTAGAGTTCTATGAACCCAGTCGCAACCGAGTCTCTTCCTTACGGCGAACGCGAACGGGGACTTCTGAAATGGGCTCCGACGTGTACGCGGGTTTGCTCCCCTCGACTTGGGGAAAACGGATCGTGGACGTATGAGGTCTCTGAAATGGTTTTCCCTGAAATGGTTTTCCCTGAAATAGTTTTCCCTGAAATGGTTTTCTCTGAAATGGTTTTCCCTGAAATGGTTTTCTCACCGCTTCACCTCACTCCTGGGGCTGCACATATCCTCTTCATTCCACTGCAGTCTGGCCATTTCTTTTCTCAAGATATTTTTCGCGCTCTAATTACTCAGCACTTGGAGCATCAACAGGGGAAATTTTCATGCAAATTTCATGCAAATTTCCTAATTTTCAAATCGATATTTTTCCTTTCAGGGAATGTTGCTCCAATTCTGAGTTGTAACCGAGGCGACTGAAGTGCCTCTAATGGACGACTCTCGTCGACCATTACGTCCCCGTAACGGTCGATGCAAGTCGTCGCAGACGAGTCCCATCAGATATTAATTAGATTCGCGCAGTTCGAGGATCCCCGGGAACGCGGCGGCGTTCCCCATCCGCATTTTGCATGAAGGACCGAAGGGTTCCTCGCGGGCGGGTCGATGGGGAAGCCGAGACGAGGCTCATATCCTTCGCCATGAGGCTCATATCCTTCGCCATGAGGCTCATATCCTTCGCCATGAGGCTCATATCCTTCGCCATGAGGCTCATATCCTTCGCCATGAGGCTCATATCCTTCGCCATGAGGCTCATATCCTTCGCTGATGCGATCGGTGCGACGAAACTGATGGGGATGGCGGAAAGCTTCATCCCCTTCGGTCTCATCAGCGTTGAAACTGATGGAGGAAAGTTTCATCATCTCATCAGCGTTGAAATCTTGAGCTCTTCATGGACGCAGTGCTAATAGAAAAAAAAAAACAGCCCTACGGATTCCGAGACAAATGGAAAGGGGCACATCTCGCACCATTACCTTGCCAAAATGGAGCACCTTTAAAAAATTTCCCGGCATGATTCTCCTCGTGTTGCATAATTAAAAAAAATGGCAAGACTCCCCCAGCACACTTTCGCACGACCGTTCCTGCAAAAAAACTTGACCGCTAATTATGCACCTCAGCGGCTGGGGGAGCTGGAGGAGCAATTCAGGACGAAAATGTCCCTGTCCATGTCCCCGGGGGCCCCCCGGAAGGTCGACCAGGCGCTCGATCGGTTCCTACAGGAGGTTTTTTCCAAGGATTTCAAGGGCAACGAAGTCCTCAGAGGGGCCGAGGGCCTCAGAGGTGCCGAGGACCTCAGAGGGGCCGAGGGCCTCAAAGGGGCCGAGGGCCTCAGAGGGGCCGAGGACCTCAAAGACGATGAGGAACTTGTGAGTCCATTTTTCCCAGAGACCTCATGCGTTCTCCGATCCCGGAGCTGATTTTTCTTGGTGAGGCAAATTGAAAAGAAATTTGTTTTTCCATAAAAATTTGTATTCGATGGAAAGTTTCAGGACGAGCCGGAGGAGGGCGGGAAGAAGGTCTCGTCCCCCCGGGAAAATCCCTTCGGGGACTCCGTGCATCAACGGCACACTCCGCTCGACATGAAAGGTATCTGACGGCAGCAAATTAAAAAAAAAATTTTTTTTTTCAATAAAATTTTCAGATCTCATTATCATTTAATTTATATTATTTATTATTTAAAACGAAAATTGTTGCATTGTTTGGTGGCGTCTACTTCCGACCAGCAGATTGAAACAGTTTTGCTGCATTTGCTGCATTTCAGCTACATTTGCTACATTTGAGCTACATTTGCTACATTTGAGCTACATTTGCTACATTTGAGCTACATTTGCTACATTTGAGCTACATTTGCTACATTTGAGCTACATTTGAGCTACATTTGAGCTACATTTGCTACATTTGCTACATTTCAGCTACATTTGCTACATTTAGTTGTCACCCGCCAAGTGTGTAGTCGCGCGATCGTTTAATTGAAACGAAGACCGGAAATGATCGGCTCAGATCTGAAGAAGCAGCCTCTCTCCCCGTCAGATGTGATGGTGCTGAACGAGATCATCGACCAAGCCGCGGGCCGGCAGAGCAAGCTGAGCAGCAGGGCCGGTGAGCCGAATTTGCATGGAGATTGCCTCTCACCGCTTTTATTATGCTTCGTCTATAAAGGAATTTACATCCGGGGGATCCTTCCGTGTTGCGTGGATCCTTCCGTGTTGCATGGATGCTTCTGTGTCGCATGGATGCTTCGGTGTAGTGTGGATCCTTTTTGGATGCAGTGTGGATCCTTTTTGTAGCGTGGACGTTCCTCTGTGCAGAATGGATTGTTTTAAGTGGCATGGTACTTTCTGCTTAGTGTGGATCCTTTTGTGAAGTGTGGATTCTTCTGAGTAATGGAGATCATTCTGTGTAATGAGGATCATTGGGGTTACAGTATTTTTTTGTAATGCGGACCTTTCTTAGTACCGTGGATTCTTCTTCATGCTATGGATGATGTTTCTTAATGGGTCCTTCTGTGTAGCGTGGATCCTTCTGTATAGCGTGGATCCTTCTGTGTAGCGTGAATGTCCCGTTTAGCATGGATCTTTCGCTCTGCACATCTCTTGTCTCGCATGCTCGGAGTCCTTGTTCCATATTGGAGAGGTTGGCTCGGGGAGCAATAGGAATTGCTTCGAGGGAATCGTGGAGGTTGGCTCGCGAGGTAGATGATTGAGTTCGGTGTGGTTTCTAGCATGGGAGCCGTGGAGCGTGGTCCTCCGAGTTCCGGGGGAGTTGGAGAGACGCCGGTTCGGTTTTTGCCTGTCTGGTAGATCCCTGCCAAAAGTCTCGCAAAATTGGGATGCAATATGCCAATTTTGGCCAAAATGTATTTGGCATACATTTTACTTTAATTTATGCCAAAAAGGTAACGATCTATTACAAAACGAAATTCAGCCTTTAAGCGATGTGGAGACATCTTGGTTGGTCGTCAAGGTCAAGGTCAAGGTCAATATCGAGGTCTGAGCATTGCGAGACTTTTGGAGTCCTAATCCTGAAGTTTAAAGGGGAACTTGGAGCGACGCATTCCAAAGATATATTCCAGGCTTCCATCTAGATTTTGTCGCTCCAAATTCCCCAGAGTGCCTGTTAGTCGCCCAGGTTCTGTCGCATTTTCAGTCGCAGTCTTGTCGCAGTTTTGTCGCAGTTGGCATGATCGTGTCTTCCCCTCCCCCCTCCTAGATTTAATTTCCTTTAGAAATGCATTTCTGTGAACTAGAATGGTCGTAGGTTCGTCCTAGTGGACGCGACCAGGATTAGATTTTGGGGTCGACCCAGTTTAGGTCGACCTGAACGACGGTCGACCTGAATTGGATCGGAGTCGATGTGATGGAATGCTATGTAGGGGATTTGCGTCTTGGAGTCCCGATGTTCGTGACCGTCTGGCTGGGGGATCGATAGAAGGTGGCATGATGTGGGTGTCATCCTCGGTCCTCGAAGGCTTCTGGCCTTCGAGGGCCGAGGGCCTTCGAGGGCCGAGGGCCGTCTAGGACTATGGTGATGGATTGGGGGGCCTGACTGGGCATGTCGAATTTTGGATTTGGAAAGCGGAAAATGGTTTTTGCTTTCCAAAAAGCGACACGGGGCACCCGCCGAGGGCGGCAAGTCTTCGTCGGCTAGTTCTCCTTCCGCTCGTTTCCCGGGCGGAGGCGCTTCCCGCCGTGCGTGTACGCGACTCACGCGCAAGCACGTCTTGTCTCTTTTTTTTTTGCACGTTCCGCCCGGCTCTGTCCGGGCTCATTTTGCATGCGATAAAAATGCCGAATATAAGCAGGAAGACTCCAGCATTGGCACTTCACGCCTCTGCATGCATTTCGCGGTGTCACGGTGTTGCCGATGCAGACGAAACCGTTCGCATAAACTTTCTCAAAAGAAAATTTAGTTCTTTAATAATAAAATTTCCATGAAATCTTTTTCTTATTGATTTTTACATATTTGTTTCAAATTTGCAATATATCTTCCCTGCTCCACACGTATCGACTAATTCATTCTGCCTCGTACCTGGAAATTTAAATATTTCCCACTTTCACTTCATTCAAAATCGATCCTAATTACTTAAATCACGTAATGGAATCTGCCACGGCGACGACGATGCCACCGCGGCCCACCGCCCGAGCACCGCGTCGCGACATCCCCAGTCTCTGCTGGCCCCGGAATCGGCTGAAAGTGCGGGGTCCGGGCCGATACTAAACCTCGGTGCAGTCTCCATCTATCACTTCCCAGGGGAGGAGGACGAGGAGGAGGAGCAGCCGACGTCGAAGGAGCGGCTCCAGCTGCTCCTTCGACGGGCCGTCGACATCTTCTGCGTCTGGGACTGCTGCTGGCTCTGGATTCAGTTCCAGGAGGTCGTGGGCCTTATCGTGTTCGACCCGTTCGTCGAGCTGTTCATCACGCTGTGCATCGTGGTGAACACGCTGTTCATGGCTCTCGATCATCACGGCATGGATGCGCAGCTGCTGCAGGCCCTTCGCAACGGCAACTACGTATGTCGTCGTTTTCGATCGGCAGCAGACGTGACGCACGATGCTTTCCGTGTTTCCTCCGTATTGCACTTCAATATTGCATATTGAGTGCATTGTATATTGCATATTGAATATTGAGTGTATGGAATTCGTCTTGGAATCGCATATTGAATCGGGATCGCCAACTGCCAATTGAACGCGGTACCGTTTTGGAAACACCTGGCTCGCTCCAGCCTTTCTACACCTAATATATGTCTTGTCTAACGTTTTTTAAATTTTATTTAAATATTTGGCATCAATTACCATGAAGTGAATTTCTCATTTCCTCAGACAACGAATTTCTGCTGTGAGGAAATTTATTATTATAAAAGCCACCACTTCCCAACTGATATATTTTCGGGCTTCATAGTTCTTCACGGCGACGTTCGCCATCGAGGCGGCGATGAAGCTGATCGCCAAGAGCCCCAAATTCTACTTCAAGGAGGGCTGGAACATCTTTGACTTCATCATCGTTGTCCTCTCCCTCGCCGAGCTCTTCCTCGAGAACGTCTCCGGCCTTTCCGTCCTCCGCTCCTTCCGATTGGTGCGTCTCCTCTCGTGCTTCCTTTTGATTGGTGGAGGGAGGGATGCCGTCCTTTCAACTTCGATCGGATTGGACGAGTGACGTCCTCCGCATCTGCGATCTAATTGGTGGAAGGTGGCTCCCGCCTTTCTACCGTTAACCCAATTGGTGGAGGGCGTCTCCCGCCTTTCTACCGTTAATCTGATTGGTGGAGGGCGTCTCCCGCCTTTCTACCGTTAATCTGATTGGTGGAAAGATGCAATCCTCTCCTATTCATCTGATTGCTGAGGGAATTTCATTTATTTCATTGCAGTTAAGAGTGTTCAAGTTGGCCAAGTCATGGCCTACGTTAAACTTGTTGATTTCGATCATGGGAAAGACGATCGGGGCCTTGGGAAACCTCACCTTCGTCCTCGGCATTATCATCTTCATCTTCGCCGTTATGGGCATGCAGTTGTTTGGCAAGAATTACGTCGGTAAGTTCTTCGAGGAAAATATATATATATATATATATAGCGATTGGGTACCGAGTTAGTCCTTTTCACTTTCCTTCAAATCCAGGCAGCCCGCCAATTTTTGGAAAGGACGGATTAGCTGGGTTGCAAATGGGTTAAGCTCGCTCGGTTTATAAGGATGGGGGAAATCTGTTCGTCTCGAAAGCCCAGCGAGATCCAGGCCATTTATTTTCATCATCCTTAATCCGGCAGTCATGAATAATTATGAGATATTTGTTCCCTCTGGAATGTGGGAACCTTTCTTCCCGGCTCCATTAAAAAGTGAAAATTCAAGGGTTGCACAAGAAATGTCAGGTCTGACATTTCTTGTGCATTTCTTGACGAGAAACGTCGCGAGCCTGAAGTTTGTGCCGTGGCTCGGTTTCTAGTTCTCGGGGCAGACGGGCTTGCAAATCCCTTTTAATTCCTGTCCTTGAGGAGATTAATGCAGCCCTTCAAGGTCATCATTTGGAATTCCAATCTCATCGAGTCTGCGGGGCTTGCCGGGATTTTGCCCATCTTCCAGGGCATTTAGGGTTTAGTCACAGTGCAATTCTCTGGCGAATTGCACAGAACCGCATGTGCAATTTCAATTTTTTTTTGCAGAGAACAAGCACCTGTTCCCAGAGGGCGAGGTCCCCAGATGGAATTTCACCGATTTCATGCATTCCTTCATGATCGTGTTCCGGGTGCTCTGCGGGGAATGGATCGAGAGCATGTGGGATTGCATGCTGGTTGGCGACTGGTCCTGCGTCCCGTTCTTCCTCGGGACTGTCGTCATCGGCAACCTTGTGGTGAGTTGGGGGGGGGGGGGGGGGCGCCGTACCCGCCAGGGG